GATATGAGCCCACGGCAGGCATCAAGGCACTTGATGATGATGAAGGCGCGACTATGACTGTTAAGTATCAAACTAAGAAGGAAGTCTTATCTTGTCTCATGGTGTGACTTATGCAAACATTCTGCGGCTGTATCGGGTGTTCCTGACTGCAGGCGCGCCGCCACAAAGATAATATTGGGGGGGGGGGAGGGGTTGAAAGGGTTAGAAAAGCCTGTAAGGACCTAAAGCATTTCCCATTTATTAAGAAAATATTGCGGGCTTTCAACCCCCCCCCCCCTTCTTTTATTCAAGGGATTGCTCTTCTCGGTCTCCTAGGCAAAAAAGTTGTATGTGTGCTAGGATAAAAGGGGAGGATCGTTGCATTTGTTGACACTTTCAGCTCCCCAGCACTGTATACCCAATACGCTTGAAAGGTCGAGGAGAAGGGTCCTTCACTTACTTTACCGAATTGCATATCAAGGCCACTTGGTGGTGGTGAAGGGGGGGACTATGACTGTTAAGTATCAAACTAACGAAGGGAAGTCGAGCTTCGTATCATTGGTGCGGGTTGGGGGGGGTGGAGCGGCGTATCGGGTGTTCCTGACTGCAGGGGGGGTAATATGGGGGGGGGGGGGGGGGGGGGGGCATGTAAGGACCGCTTCCCCATTTATTAAGAAAAAATTGGGGGATTTTCAACCCCCCCCCCCTTCTTTTCTTTCAACGATTGCCCTTCTCGTCTCCTAGGCAAAAAAAAAAAAAAATTGTGTGCTAGGAAAGGGGAGGATTTGACACTTTCAGCTCCCACCTTCTTCCTCATAAACAAGGAAAACATATGGGGGGGGGGGGGGGAGGATGGAATCTCAACCCAAAACCTGACCGTCTTACAGATGTTCTAGGTAAACAATTAGGTTGAGGAGCGGGTCTCGTGCTTGAGGGCTCTCCCCTTTCCCCACCCCTCCCCCCAATTAAGGGGTAGAGCCAACGCCCCAACACCAGCGCCCAATAATTTTGTAGCATCCTCAGTAACCATATATATAAATTCTCTTGTTAAAGTATTTGTTTATACACATAATATTATTTTAAGTAAATTATTATGTTTATGTGATTTTCGGCATTTGATTTTTATTATTATCATCATCACTATAACTATTATTGTTAGTGTGCTAAATGGCAAATAAATATGATGGTATTCTTGAAATAATATGAATGTGTAAACAAAGACTTTAAAGACAATTTTTTGTTTACATAGTTTAAAGGGGTGGCGTGATGCTGACCCCAGCACCCAACTTGTGCAGGTTTGTCTATACAAATAAAGGTCTAGCCCTATATGCCTAAAAGCGTGGAAAAGGGACCTTTACTTTACTCACTTATAGGGGCCTCTTAGTCTCAATACAAAATTATTATAAGAAAAAAGGGAGGGATGGTGGGTTCTGAAGGGGGGCGCCTATTCTAGATAATCAGATCCAGTCTGTCTTTGATCCTGACTCAATGTACTTTACCTTCTTATCGCGATCATGTTTTGTCACCGAACTGTCCCACATCTCGACACAGATCAGGTGAAGAACACGGCCTAGGCTCGAAAGCTGTTATTGCAACGCCGTGTTATTGTTTTGGCGGTGGCCCCAGTGTTGCTAAATAATCATATTTATTCATGATTGATACAACACAAAAACACGATCTTTGTGTAATGACATACGCAAGGTAGGCCAAGTGTTGAAAGTTACAATAAATTGCATGTGAAGTATTCAATGTTATTAAAGTTAATTATTGTTAAAAATGATCGTCAGTATCCTTAGTAATAGTATTACTAATAGTACTAGGACAGTAACGTAGTTATAAAGTACCACTAGTTGAGAAAAAATCAGATAAGTTAATGAAATTAGTCTTAAAGTTTACTATTTAATTAATTTATATTATAAGAAAAAAGTGTTAATCTCTGTTATTATATAACTTATAACTGACTATATGCTTTTTCTGTTGATATCATTATGGTATGTATGAGAAATAGGAAAAGTGTGTTATGTATTAAGCAAATAGTTATTTTAGTTATTTGAAATTAAGGCTTCCTCCGAATAACGAAAAAAAAGTGTTTTTTTGGTTAATAGTAATACTGTTACTGTTATCTTATAACTTATAACTGACTATATGCTTTTTTTTGTATTGATATTATTATGTATATATCAGACAGAAATAGAAAAAGTGTATTATGTAAAAGTAAAAGCAAATAGTTATTTTAAAAATAAGTAAAGAAAAAGAAAAAATATGGTTTTTTTTATCGTTCTGACTACTCTTGGTTAATTCATGTCTTATCACTTATGTCTGGACATTATATTTATCATTATTATATTAGTATCTCTTACATAGCTTATTCTATCATGGATATACATAAGATTTATAATGTTTATGTATGTGTTGTTGATTTTTTTTTTCAGTCACTATTTTGTATGTTTATGTATTTCACACAGTTAAGTTATTCATTAACAAATGTTACATCTCCCCCCAACACTTCGCTGAGGTACAAGGTGGAAGAAAAGAAGTTAATTTTATACTCCCTGTCATCAACTCTAATACAGTATAAAGATATGAACAAGCAGGAAATAAATAATACAAGTATTTAGGTGGATATTTTGGTACATGATGTAATGGACCGTGTTGCATGGAGGGAGAAAATCAGGAAGGGAAAAGGAATAAAGGAGATAATAATTGAAAATAGTTTAAGAGCTGAGCATGTTAAATACATGGGATTGCTACAAAGATCCTGAAATCTGATGCTCCACTTTCAGAGACTTTTGATCAGAAGCGGGTCTTGCTAGTTCCACTAACTATCACCATAGGCAGTGATTCCCTTGCCTTCATGTAACACAGTATAACACTGTTGTATGGAAAGAAAGGGGCCAATTTTCTGTTATCACCCTGACTTCAGTCACCCATTGTTTCCTATATCTTTGTAACTCAAGATGTATCTTGATTAATCAGAGATAAACGTATTGGAAAATACAACATAATTAAATTAATAGTTTTGAAAATGTGGCTTACTTTGATGAGGTTGGATGTGTTTGATTTCATAATGTAGTACCCTAACCAATTTTTATTGTTACTTCTTAAAATTAATTATAACACTTATGTGAGGGGTATTATTTAATTCGCTTCTTATGCCTTCTTTTACATGTATGCTTTCTGGTAGATTGTAGTTGTATTCTCTGTTTTAATATTAGAAAAGTACTTGAGGATCTATTTTCCACATGATAATGAAAAATTTGGAATTTAGGTGTAAAAAGCAAAGGAAAGGGCACAGTCCATGCCATTTGGAGCATTAGGCACAAATAAGTTTAACAAAACTGTTGAAAGTGACTATCAAGGAGCTATAGCCCGACATTTCAAGATCCTTTGAACCTAATTCACTTGCAATAAAGATGATAAACTTTATGGCAATGTAAGTGGTAAATAATTAGCACAATAAAAAGTTGTTTGTCTTGTTAATGTAAACAATAAATAATTGACATAATAAAATGGACATCAAGATATTTTTATTTATGTCAAAAGTAAATCATAGCATGGACAGTATTGAAGGAAGCATACATCTCTTTTTAGCCTACTTTGTTAACTCCAAAAGATTGGTCGAATCAATACTTTTAGAACAGAGCATGCTATAAAAGCTGGTTAAATCAGAAGAGCAGTGCTCTGTCTGTTGCCTCCATGTTGGAGCTTCTCTCGTAGACAAGCTTCCCAAGAGTTAATATTTAGTTGTAAATCATATCTGAAAGTGTTCTAATCATGGTTTTTAAATACAAAAATAGATCAGTTTGTGATATGTGTGTGTGTATATGACATGTGTGCATGCATGTTTGTGTGAACATTTCATGGACTTGGACAACTAGTGATTCCCCCTGGTCTCTGGTTAGTGAGAGCGGACACCTGTGTGCATTGTTGCATACATAAAAAAATCACTTGGTATTTAGAAAATGAAATGAGTAGCCTAACGGGGCTGTCCAGGCAAAATTTAGAGTTAAAATCAACCCAAAGTATTTCAGGATCCTCGCCAGTGCTACAGAGCCTGTGCACTGAGCTGAGCTTCTTCTGACTCAGAATTGAGTTAAAAGAAGAACAGAACACTTATAGGTTATTACCCGTGTGCCATGATGTTGATCCGTTGTTCAAACCTCAAACGTGAACGTTGTTTTTCTGTCTTTTAAATTATAGCTGTTTTCTAGTTTTAAAATTATAATACAACACAATAAGATGAAAGCTGAGATTCTAATTTAGTATTTTTGGGGGGGGGGGGGGGGGGGAACAGTAAATACTTATTTAAATAATGTGGACACAAACAATAGATTGCACAATTTATTGCCTGGCACATTTCACTGTATCTCGTCAGGTGCTTTACTACAGAATTACGTCACCCTATAATGAAGCACAAAAATGAATAAATCCAACTGAAAAGTGAATTGTTTCTTTAAATGCATCACGTTTGTCTAGTCACTGAAGTTCAGTTTAGTCACATGACTTACCAGGGTAACTTCAAATTGACTATACATTCCATTTGCTTACAAAGAAGTAGGTTGTTGATTTTAATTGCAAATACTTTAACAAAACAAGGGAAACAAAACCTAGTTTTCAATTTGTGTCATATTATATCAGGTTATTAGAGACAGCTTTGCAGATATAGACAATTTATTTCATGCGAACGAAAGAAGAAGAAGATATCAGGTTATTGAGTGCACAGATTATGACATCACCGTAGAAGTCCTTGTGCAGTTTCAGATTTGTTTTCTGCTTAAAACCTTTTCCTCAGAAAATTTCCATTTAATTTTCACATCATGTATGTGAATTCCACAGGAGTGTCTTCTAGTTGGGCTATATAAATGTAAACTGTTGCTGAATTGTGTTTATTAGATGCAATATTCCTAAATATTAGAGATCTGAGTAATTCTATTCCTCAATGATCTTTTTAATTCTTAACTATGTCATTCATTTTATACATTGAATGTCTAATTAATTCTGTGCCTTGACTTTGTTGCCAGATGACTGTACAGGTTGGAGACTATGTAAAAGCATCTTTTGACTTCTCTAGCGATGAAGTCTCGGACTTATCTCTTAGTTATGGTGATTTAGTAAGAATCACAGATATTCTGGATACAAATTGGGCATCTGGTGAAAAGATTGGATTGAATTGTCAGTCTGGAAATTTCCCTTTGGCTTATGTTGAACGTGTAACAATACCCTCGACACATGTTGGCCAGAAAATATTCCTGGCTCTTCAGGACTTCCCAGCTGAGCAGAATGATGACCTAGAAATTAAGAAGGGTAAGTGATGTAAAGTTTCCTACTAGATTAGGTGCCTGCTACATAGAGTTCATATTTTCTGGCATGTTTGTAACACCATTATGGAAAATGTTTTTGCCAGCATTATTTACTACTGTGTCTTGCTATCAGTTGGGGTTCCAACTTCATCGCAAATAAGTCATCCCTTAATTGCTTTGTTCCTGTCCTAGTGAAAAACCATATTAAATGCCTATCATTGTTTTTGTGAAAACACAGTAGTCCTGGTAAAATTTAGCAGCTTGCACATGCATTAAATGAATAAGACAGCCATCAGAAGTGCTAACAGCTACAGTCTGCCGCTGTAATTATTTATTGTTGAAGGAAGCAGATGCACATGCATTACTGTAGGTGGCACATCGCCAATTCTGTGGCACCCAGTCTACTGTATCTACAAATTTGTAACATCATTTTGCTAGCATAATTCACTACAGTAAATCCTCTTACTTACTCACTTAGTCGCTCCTCTTCTACCTTGGGGTGTAGAGGTTTGCCAGAGAGATCGGCAGACGTCTCTATCAGCAGTTTTCTTTCTGGCTTTGTTCCATAGTCCGTAAGCCATGCCAGTTCGTCGCCGTTAAGATCCGTCCGGTTTTCTCTCTGTAGTTACTTGTAATCATATTTTAAGGCAAACAGATGATTGGCCTGTTGTGCCTTTGCATGGTGGAGGGGCTGCTTCCTTGCGGCCTCCATGCAGGCCGTCTGGCTGATTCACGGTTACCCACTACTTCCGGAGACGCATGAAGCACACAGGTTCAGCCAGACCTTCCTCCTTTTACAGCCGGGCTTGGGACCGGTTTAGCGGAGTTCAGTAAATCCTCATTAACACAAATTCCAAGGGACTGAAACTAAAGTTTGTCTTAAAAAATGTTCTTGTGCTAAATGAGGACTAATAATGATATAATTGTGGCGCGGTGATTTATGTCACAGGCGTGAGGGGAAGTTAAGTCCAACATGATGTGTATAAGGAGATACTCCGTACGTCACTCGGGCGCCAGTCCTTTACTATCCTGGTTGTACGGAACCTCACGCAAGACCCCTACAGCACGTCCTCGTCGTGCGCCACGGATAATGTCTCAAATGAGCATTAACAGAGCTGTCAGGGGATCTCGGAGTTTGGCGGCCCCCAGAGGTGATGTGTCCTTGTGGCTCTCATCAGCCCGCCCCCAAACGCCTGGGTGAAAAATGTTATCAAAACTCATTAGGAACATGAGTAGGTTCGACAAAAGTACAGCTAAAATCACAACCCTTGGTTAAAAGACTGCTGAGTAAAGAGAACATTGCTCAATGCTCATCCTCGGTTAATTCTCAGTGTCGTCGTCACCGCGCTGAGGTGCACCACAACAGAAACCATACATGGGCTGGCCATCCTTGTGCATCCTCGGTTGGCCCTCAGTGTCGTCGTCACCGCGCTGAGGTGCACCACAACAGCAACCATACATGGGCTGGCCAGTCACGTACATCCTCGGTTAACCCTCAGTGTCGTCGTCACCGCGCTGTGGTACACCACAACAGCAACCATCCATCGGATGGCTAAGCCTAAATGTCCGACAAAACTAGATCATACGGATCAAAATCTGACCATCAAAATTTGCACTGAAATGCAAAAGGCCGAATGTCCACACCCAAAGACCCCACTCGCCCGAGTGTTGGGACAAAACTGATAACGATATGCCTGATTCAGGATGTGAAATTCTGCCGGGCTAATGTACCTATCTGTGTGGTCACAAAAGTCCAAAACCAATGGGCTGCTCCCCGCTGACTTCCAGAGGGCGCAGCCCCTGTCGAGCGGGAGGCCTGATACGGTTGTGAGGTTAAGCAGGCATGTGCAGGACGTGACGATTCCTTGGGTGAGCCCAGAACCAGAGCGCCATGTGCCGGCTCTGCATGCATGGAAGCCTCCTTGGATGGCGGGGAATGCCCATGATCTGCCCCTGCCTTCCCTTGAGGGCCAACTGTTCCACAGGGGGTTGCCCCAAAGGGGTACTCCGGGGGCAATACCTGCGGCAAAGGAGACAAGGTGGACACCACACAAATCAGGCAGTCTCGACCCACACAAAACAATGGCCACAGTCACCCTAGAAATAGGCCTGACGTCTTCCTTCGAAGTCGGCGTACAGCTGCCCAAGAGGCAGGGAAATAAAAAACGGTTGTACACGCAAAAATCAGGTCCAGGTGAAGGCCAAAAGTCCAAGCGGACGATTAACCGGGACCTTCCACTGGAATTCACAGCCGGTGTTCGATGAAAAAAAAAAAAAATGATATAATTTTACATCTATGCTGGGACTAAACTTTTCTTTATGTTAACCAAGTGTTCTTCTTCGCATATTTACAAGATGATTTACTAGTATGTTTGCATGCATGTAAGATCACCTTGCTAGGATGTTTGCATACATGTAAGATCACCTTGCTGGTATATTTGCATACATGTAAGATCACCTTGCTAGTATGTTTGCATGCATGTAAGATCACCTTGCTAGAATGTTTGCATATTTATTACATCATTTTACTAGTATAGTTAATTATTGGTGTTTTGCCAACATGTTTACAAATTGTGTAACATCATGTTGCTAGTATGTTTACTAGCATTATTTGTTTGTATGTTTACATATTTGTAACATGTCAGGAATTCATTGGGAAAACAAATGGATTATGCTTAGTGTTTGAAAGCCTAGTATATTATACTGCAGCATCTAGTTTGAGAAAAAGAATGGAGGTGAAGGCAGTCACAGCAGTTTTCCACTGGCTTGAAAACCAGCTGCAGATAAATCGTAATTATAGCGGACTCTCATAGCATGCGAAGAAAGGTAGAATGACAAGCATTGCTTCAGGGGTCCCATATGGTTAGAATCTTTTCTTGAGGATATGCAGGTATTTTGGGATATGACAAGATAAGACAGATCGGCTGGTTCTGAACCATTGGGCAGTGAATTGATGCATGACAAGCTCAGTGTGGTCAAGGCATTTTGGGAGCAAGTGAATTCTGTGGAGGCACATATAGATCTCTATGGCCTGGAGAGAGTGGTATAGCCAATCACATAACAACTTTCCTTAGTCACCTCTGATGGTAGGCATGGTAAATCACATGGTTTTGTTCTTTGTTTCACTTGTGGGATCTTGGATCTTATGTAGTCACACTCTAATCTGAGTCACTGGTCATTTAGTTTTCATCATGAAGGAATCACACTTTGAGGTTCCTGTTCTCAGTGCTAGTTATATATTCATCACTATCACCAAGAAGATGGTGGAGAGGTAATATAAAGCTACATACATCTAAAAGCACTTGGAATCAAAAGCTGGAAAGAGAAGGTCGAGCACAGAGATGAATGGAGGCAGACAATATCTGCAACAGTGAACCTCAAGGACTCAGAATGCAAAAGAAGAAGAATAAAAATAAGGAGAAGAAGAATTATGTACCTTGTCAGATTGCATTTCTTGCCTCATCTCTCTGTCCTTGTTATTCTAGATTAATTCTCTTGATGATATTCCTCCATGTTTAAGCCATCCAGCATAAGTCCTCTTGGTCTTGCATGTCTCTTCTACTGCTGATCTTTTCATCTGTTATGTTATCTAATGCCTCTTTTATAATGACATAACCAAAAACACTGCATGTTTACTATAGTTGTATATAATATTCAACTTTAATTAGGCACCCCTCCCCAAAAAAAACCCACTCACTGTTAGAAATACAACATGCATGTCTGTTTTAAAAGCCATTTTTTAGAGGACTGCCCCTTTTTGTTCTCATGTCCATCCATGAAATTCTTTACATTTTCTTCAGAAACAATATTTCAGTTTTCATTCAACAATTTTTTCTAGCTTTCTGTGTTAATAGCAGCGTCCGTGGCTAAGGCGCTGCGAGTCCGACTCATAATCCAGCGTACCGCGATTGAAACCCACTTCGAGCTGAGTAGATTTTTATCATGGAATGGGACATCACAGGTCAACCCAGCCTGAAATGGGTACCAGGATGGGCTGTCCTGTGGAAGCAAAGACGGCCGGCGTAATGCTGACTACATTACCCACTGAGTGCCGATTGGTTTGTGAAAATATGGGTGCTCTTTCCATATGCCTGATGCGCCTAAAGGCGTGAAAAGGGAACTTTACTTTACTTACTTTCTGTATTTCTAAAATTATTAAAATATTTTTCATTTTGTGCTTTAAAAGTATTTTATTTTGTTGTTTTCAGGTGATATCATAGCTGGACTAGAAGCAGTAGATGACATGTGGTGGAAAGGTCAGAGTGGTTCACAAAAAGGAATATTTCCTCTATCCTTTGTTGTTGAGCTAGATATTAACAATGTGCATCAGTTGAGCTCAAATAGCAAACAACGTTTAAAGTCAAGTTCAGAAGACATTAAGTCAAGAACTGAGCCAGGTACTCATGATGTGGGAGGTCATAAAATCCAGGAAGTGACTTATGCCAGGGCATTGATGGATGTAATACCTCAGCTGGATGGAGAACTAGCATTTTGTGAAGGTGACGTAATAGAGATTACAGAAATTGTGGACAGTGATTGGTTTTATGGCCAATTTGGTTCAAAGGAAGGTTTAGTTTTAGCAGCTTGTGTACAGCTTTTAAATAATGGCAGGCAATTTAAATCAAATAATTATTCAAATCAGAATGTTAAATTAAACAGAGATAAAGGCTACCATGAAATATTGTCTACTTGTAAATCTACAAATAATGTTGAATCATTGGAATTAGGGAATTCAGAGAATAGACTCATTAATTCTTTTAATCAAATCAATATTTCCACAAATGTGTGTAATGCAGAATCTGTACCAGGTGGAATTGTGAAACAAACTTTCTCATCCCAGAATCCATCTGAGTTTTCTCTAAGGAAGAACAGCATTGTGTTTGTTAGTGGACATATAGATGCAGACAGGACAGAAGGAGAAGTAGGTGATGAACAAGGAAAATTTCCAGCCAAACGTGTTGAACTTACTGTTGACTTTCAACATGCTCGTGGCCCAGATTTATC